AGCACTTTCATACTGATGTTTTTGCTTCTATTTTGGTTTATTCATAATCTTAGCAATTTCTGGATGGTTTCTGTGTGACCTTTAGGCCTGAGCTAGTCTGTCTTTCTTCATTTAATCGTCACTCTCAGTGTCCTACATCTTACATCTTTCCTCTCTGTGCTCTCTCTATGCCCCTGTCACTCTCGGGTCCCTCTTGCCAGTCTCCAGCTCTGCCTCTATTCCACATTACTCTGCAGGGCAGCATTGTTGTGTCTGAAGTTTTGTGACTCAGTCAAAGAGCAGCAAGCACTTCTCTCCAAACCACAGTGTGGTGAGTTTACTGTGGCTGAGGCCAAACTGCCCCCAGCCCCTCTCGCACTCCCCTCCTCAGCAGGGCAGGGGAGGGAAGAAGAACAGCCTTGTGAGGTAAAGGCAGGGAGGTCGTCCATGACAGTTATGGGCAAAACAGTCTTGACTTGGGGAAAATAAATTTAATTTATTACCTATTAAAATAGATTTGGATAGTGAGAAAGACCAGTAAATTTGCCACACCACCCTCTGCCTCCCAGCTTGGCTTCATTCCCCCATCCCTGTATGCCCTGAGCAGGGCAGAGGGAAGGGGCTGTGGTTGGTCTGTGGCAACTCCTCTCTGCCACTCCCATGAGTGACAATTCCTCGAGGAAAATGCTTGAGCTTCCCAGGGGACACAGTTCCTGCAGGGAATGAACACACCCCGCTGCCCTGAGGACTCCCTGTGGGCTGTGGGGATCCAGCCCCACGGCACCTCCTCCCTCCCGGGGCCCGCTGTCACTTTTCCCCACACCCACTGTCACTTTTCCCCACACCCAGTGTCACTTTTCCCCACACCCCTTGCTGTTGTGGCACCTTTGCCTGTCGGTTCAGTGTCCCCAAGGCATGGCCACGGCGCTGAGGGGGGTGGGCTCTCAGAGCTGTGTGGGCTGAGGGGGCCCCTCACAGCGGCTCCATATGACCTGTGTCTGGACAAAAGGGAGGAATGAAAACCCAGGGGGATGGGCAGGGGGGGTTAGGGCTTTTTCCCTTTAATTCACCTTAGCAGCAGAGCCACATCACCATTAGAAGCCCTTCTTGCTGCTGCAGTGCCCCAGAATGGTGAGGGGATCATCCAGTCCCATAGTGTGGGAGAGACTCCATCATCACCAACTGGGAAAATGCCCCTGATATAGAAAACCTCTAAATAGTCCAGTTTTGGGGAGCAGGGAAGAGCTGTTGTTCCTCTCACTGTTTGGGGTGGCTGTGATGAAGAATCAGAAATAAAATCCTCTTCTGAGACCAGGCCCAGCCCTCAGCCAGCAGCTGATTTTTTTTTTTCTTTTTCCTTTCTTGTAATAGAAGTGTAGTTATGACTTTATCCGTTTCTGCTTGACTTCTGGAATCCTCCGATAGATTTAATGGCACTACAAACTAATAGGTTCTGTAGTACAATAAAAGATTTCAAAAAATGCAAGGAATGACCAGAAACTCCTAGGAAAGTTTTGGAGCTGTGGGTGTGCCCCAGGGTCCAGCCCTGTGCTGTCCAACTCTTGAGGTCCTGATTGTCACTTTTTTTTTACAGGTACACCATCTCTCTCACTCAGGGAGTCCCTGAGGCTGTGCATGTTCCTTGTGAGTCTGAGACAGTCTGAGTTTTTAGGGTTTTGTGCTTTCAGTTTAGAAAATGTTGGTATTTCCTCTTTGTGATACCCTTTAGGTGGATTCCTACATGGATAAATTCATTCCCACTGTACAGTGAAAGCGTAGAGTCAAACACACTTTTTGCAAAACCTTTTTCACTCCTCCCCTGGTGCAAATTTTGAAGAGCAATGCTGTGTTAACGTGGGAAGTTCCTCAGTGAGACCTTCATAGAATCACAGAATATCCTGAGCTGGAAAGGACCCACAAAGATCAGCCAGTCCAACCCCTGGCCCTGCACAGACACCCCAACAATCCCACCCTGTCCCTGAGAGTGTTGTCCAAACCCTCCCTGAGCTCTGGCAGCCTTGGGGCTGTGCCCACTGCCCTGGGGAGCCTGGTCAGTGCCCAACCAGCCTCTGGGGGAAGAACTTTTTCCTAATATCCAACCGGACCCTGCCCTGACACAGCTCCAGCCATTCCCTGGGGTCCTATTGCCATTCCTTGGGTACCTTGAGTGAACACCATGGGAATTCTGTGCTGTCTTTGCCTTTTGCTTGGGATACCCTGCCAGGAATGACACAGGAACAAGGGTTGTCAACGTTGCACTTCAAATTTATTTCAAGAACAGTTCCATTTTTAAGGAGAAACTGATTTTAGGGCTCCTGTGCACCCCACAGTGATGCACCAGACTCATGCAGTGTAACTAAAGATCCAGCCTTTTATCTGTGGACTTTTTTAGCAGCACTGTGTTATTTCAGTGTTGTTTTATGCAGTTGAATCTGTGTGAATAGATGGAAATGACCCGTTGCCTGTCCACGTTAAGTGTTCTCATGTGCGCCTGTGTGTAACTTTAGGTTCTTGAAAGAACACAACGGGCACATTTCCATGCTTTATTTTTTTAATTTAACACAGATTGATGGGTTTTGGAATAAAATGTAAACCCTCAACAGTTTGGCACATGGGGAAACTCAACTTGGAAAAAAGAGAGGAAAATACGGGAAGCTTATAAATCTTGGACTTATTTCCAAGTTTGCTGTCTGATCTATGCAGTTCACTTTGTTCCTGCAGAATTTAAGGCTCAGATATCTTGGTCATATTCTCTTAGTGTAAATTGTGTCTAGAAAAATGACACCTGCTGGATTTTTCTTCTCTTCTTTGTAAGTAGCTGGAATTAACGGTGTAGAAGAAGTATAGAACTGGGCTGTTATGATTAGTTAGCAAATAACTAATGTGTAAAAATTGTGTACAAAATAAGTTGAAGTTCTAAAAATAAAATCTGAGACTAGAAAAAAAGTTCCTAATGCCTCAGTTGCAATAAGAGTTTTTCCATCATTGAGCAGATGTTGACAAAAGACCAAGTCAAGGAAACTTGATCCATTTTCCTCTGGTTGGTTAAATTGTAAACTTGAGACCATAAAATTACAGGACACAGAGGTCCTAGATAAGATCAGTGAGTTATATATGAAGTGTAAGACTTCTTGAATTCGTTATCCTCCCCTCTGCCTCCAAAAAATGCTACCAAGATCTATTAGATCTGACTGATAAACCATTCCATTTGAAATAAAAATAATTTTACTGGAAAATGTTCTGGCTGAGCTGTGGAAAATTTAGTTTATTTATTAAATTGTAAGTGTCTGACAAATAGCTCTAGTTCTTCTGTTACATTTTATTTGAGCTGAGAGTAGGCCTGTGCCATTTTTTGCAGTTGTGTTCATGCATTTCAACTCAACTGTGTGTTGGAACCTTTAGTTTCATATGCTTTATGTCCTTTCTTTGATTTGACTGATAGAGAGCACCCAAAGGTGCCTTATAGAGTGAGGGCAATAAGGGATGAAGGAGAAGTGTCACACACCCTCCAAAATTGCAGATACAGTTTGCTCTGGTAGTGAGAAAATGCTGATTGATAAAGGGTGAGGATACTTTGTGTGGTCCTTCAGTGAACCTGGGGCAGAAGAGCAGTGGCTGTGGGTGAGCACGGTGTACAGTGGGAATGTGCATCAGCACAAGTGTGTTTGGCTTGCATGCACCATTAAAAGAGCATCTGTGTGAATTTTTGTGTGGAAATAGGAATGAGAGAAGAAAGAGGGGGGGGGAAAAGGTGATGGAGAGTGTTCATGGAGAAGGAACCTTTGGTCTCCAGTCATGGAATGGAGATGAATGAATGTCTACTCCTGTACAGTCTGAATAGAACTTACTATGATCATATGAGTAATTACAATAGCTTAGGAGGAGTTGGTTGGTGTTTGTTATATGGATATTGCTGAGTGTAGTAGGTGTCTCATAAAATACCTCATTAGATACCTTGCCGAGTATTTTGTCTGCATTTACCTCTGCTACCAGTATTTATGTATGTGATTTTAGATCTAAATTTCTGAAAGGGACTTCTTGCCAGAATTGACCTCTGGAGTAACCAGTCTTCACAGGAGGTTAGTTCAAATGGAGCATCAACAAGGCTAGATGAAAATGTTAATATGTTCAAGCAAAATATGTGGAAGGATACATTAAAACAGATACATGCATTTTCAGCATTGAAGTGGATGTGGGTGATATATGTGTACATATATATATATACCCTTGCTGTATATGTGTATATGTGTTCGTGGACATGTGTAATGAATGTATATGGTAAATGTTTTCTCAGTGCACTGCTGTGTAACGTGTTGACCTGCACAGTCCACAGCATAAGAGAAAGCAGATGTGTTCTCAATTGTAATGAAAATACAGTTTGTAGAGGTTTTTTTTGTACTTTTTATTTATTGCAATGCCAGTAAAGTTCATTAAAGCTGGCTTGAAAGGCAAAAGCAATTTGATACCTATTAAGTAGATCATGTTGTTTTATGAACATTGAGGTTAGTCGAGAATTGTTTATAGTACCAAGCAACGTGGTTAGGGGCTAGTCCAGCCAAAAAAGGCTTCTCTGGAGTGATGACTTCTTCTTCCCCTGGGGAAACTTCCATGGATCTCAGAATCCACATTGCACTGTGCTGTAATGAGGGAGGGTTTGACTCTGTGCATGCTGCAATGTGATGGTAACTTTAACAACTTCATCTATGGCAGAAATACTTTGAGAAATCTAAAAGCTTCCCAAATGAAGGTCTTAAACTGTGATTTCCTTGGGACATGAGTGTTGGCCCTTCCTGCCTGCAGCCCCTGGACCTCACACCCTCTCTGTGGTGCACGAGATTCTGCGTTCGTGGTCTCACTGAGGTCCTGCCCTGGCACAAGGTCACACGGTGACAGTGCTGAAAGCACCACATAGACGCTGCTTTGTGTGCACCTGGGGCTGGGTTAAAGAAGAGCAGTGGACAAGGGCACTTGCCCGGACCAGGCTAAACTCTGTCTCTCTTTGTTTTTTCTCTCTCCTGCAGCTCAAGCCAGGTCAGAACAGCTGCCGGGACAGCGACAGCGAGAGCGCAAGCGGGGAGTCCAAGGGTTTCCATCGGAGCAGCTCCCGGGAAAGGCTCAGTGACGTGAGTATGACTCCTCCAGCTGAACACTGCTCTGGGGAACCCTGCTGGGCTTTTCTGAGGGGTGGCAGTCATAACGTGATTTAGTTTCTGGGATGGTTTGTTGCTAAAATCTCCTTCTTTTGGGGTTTCTGGAGAGGAAGAGGTAACTTAATCTCCTGCCCCAGTTCAGAAAACGTCTTAAAGTTTGATACAATGTCTTTCTGTGTGCAAATACTCATTACTTTTGAAACATTCGAAGGCCATTTAATGAAGTAAAAATGTTCTGCGTAGTTGAGAAGTGAGGTGGCCTCTTTTTACCCCAAGTGGGGAAGGAAAAGAATGTATTTCTTTGGGCTAAATACTGTCTTTATGAAAAGTATTAGAGTGTCTAGAGAGACTCAGCTAACTTATATATAATGAATTGATATAACATGGCCAACAATAGCATAAGCTCTGCCTTTATTGCTCTACCTAAACTGCTGTGGAAGGGCCTGAGATGGCAGCTCTGTGGAGAGTGTTTTTCTCCACTGGAGAATGCTGGCCATTCAGGGGGTGACACACACGAGTTATTCTGACAGAGGAATGACTACAGAAATCTCTTTGTTGCTGCAATCAGATTATTATTATTTATTATGTGTACCATCACAATCCTTGAGTGTTTTATTCATAGTTCTGTGTCCTCTGTGCTACATGCTTTACAACACAGAATATAAAGACAGCCCTGTCCCCAGAGACTATCTAAATTGGGGATTTTGTAGGTCAGATCCTTGGCTGGTAAAAGCATGGATGGCTACATTAGTCAGCCCAATTTGTATCAGCCAGCAATCTGGCCCTGCTTTCAACTAACCCACATTTTGGAAATGGGAATTTTATCGATAGCATGTCCATGTAGATTTGGATGACAGATACCAGATGGTGTCCTCTATAGGCCAATCCAATAAAACTGAACTGAGCAGGCATTAAAAGAAATACCTTTGTAAAGGATACATTTCATTGTGCAAATTTAAGCCTCGAGGCACACAGCTAGCAATTTTTGCTGAATTGTGCATATCACTGGAACAGATGCCTGATTTTTTCTTTTTCTGTGAAAGTGTGAAATCTGTAGCACTTTCTTTCCACATCCCTTTGTCACCTTATTGTAGAGGTCCATTTCTTCCCCAGAGCCAACCTTTATGGGTACAGTCAGCTAAACTCTTCAGAGCCTGCCCTTCATAGCTGTCAGGTGAGGTCACTCTGGGGGCTCCTTGGAAGAGCAGATTGAAACCAGAGGAGATAGTGAGTAAATGTTCTGTACAGGTAGCAGTGGATGGCAGCCTGTCACCACTGCCATCCTTTGCCTCTGAGCCCTGTGGCAGCTGAGAAGTCACTGCAATGAACTCCACAATTACACAGCACCTCCCAGCAAAAAATTTTCACAGCTCCTTACAGACATGGTTTTAATTTAGCCTTGTTGCTCCCTTGCAATGTGCTGAGTGGAGAGCTCTGAGCCTTATTGAGCTTCCCAGCAGCTCACAGCACTGCAGTGCCAGACCTGGCAGTGAGAGCAGAGTCCTGCTTGTCCCTCCACCCATCAAATCCACTTTTTCTCTGATGTTTTTACAATACTTTTCCTTTGTCTTGGCACTGTGGCAAATTGAAAGGAAGTAAAGAGCAAATACAACTTCCCCAGTGCATCTGAGAGAGGACATAGGGATTCACAGGTTGCTCAAAAGGAACGTTATGTAAATATATGTGAAGATGTACAATTGAAAATGTTATACATAATTTATATTCTGCTTAATAAGGAAATTTCCTTTATGCTTTGATAATTCATTCCAATACAAGCATGTGTCTCTGGTCTGGTGTTACCAGTTCAGCTGAGATTTGAAAAAGATGCATGAGACAGTTTTCATCTTACCTGGGCCTGTGGTGGCCTTTCCCAGACTCCTTCAGTTCAGAGCAGCACATCCCATTCTCTCCCAAAGCCAAACACCCTGTGTGTTGAAATGACAGGGCCTTACAAAGTGCCAGTGATACTTCCACTTCCACATGTGGGGGAGCCTGCCCTGAACTTGATCTTGAACACAAATATGCTTCATGAGCTTAATAAGGTTATTTTAAATAATATCTTTTGAAGAAGTCAGTTGTCTAATGATACCCACCAGTTACTGTCCAGAAAACGTGTCAGACAACAGAGTAAGCTTTCACAACTATTTTCTCAGAAAAAAACACACAAAAAGTTGTACACCCAACAAAAGATAGAACAAAAATATAAGACATGGCAGGCAGAGTAACCCTGAGGTCAGAAAGCAAATTTTGGCCATGAAATATAATGAATCTCTGCTAATATAGCCTGACAGCATTGGAAGATTAAGCTCCTGTATGGAAATGTGGATAATGAATGAAGTGCACATACTGCAGGTAGATGATCATTTCCTGATCCCCAGTTGTAAGCAGGCTGGTGAAACAGCAGTACTGGAGCTTCATGGGCCTTGATGTGGGGCCTAAGTGATGGTTCAGTGACAGATGCAGGATGAGGGAGATGGGATAATGAATATGCAGTTGCAAACGGACACCTCAGTGCCTTCATTCTCTCTCCTGTCAGGTATCTTTCAACTCTGCCTGTTATAACTACACCTGCAGTCCTTGGATAACACAGAGTGTGTTTACAAGGAGTGACTCCTTTCCAGGCTAATGAGATCCAAGCCGGTAATTTGCAGCAATTGTGAGAGGTGGGCAGAAATGAAAAGAAGATAATTCAGTGAAAAGACCATGTTAAACAGGAGACTTTTCTCCTAATGAAGCTTGAGATAGCATCAGACAGTAGGAAGAGGAATATCCTCTGTTCTTGTCAGATGCAATGCAGTGAGACTGTTTTCCATCAACTCCTTTCTTTGTCCTCATCTTGCGTGTGTGTGCACAGGCACACACCCCTCTGTGAGAGAACATAATTAGCAGAGAATTTGACCTCTGCTAGATTAGGGATAATGATTGCTCGAATGCTCCAGTGCAGGCATGTGGCAGTGCCCTGATGCAGCTCCCCGTTTGAATTTCATAAACCCATGGCTCTCTGCCTTTCTCCCCTTTATAGGTTGGGGTTTTTTTGGAATGACAACTTGTTTTTTCTTTTATGGATGGAGGTAGCTCCAGGGGCCTAAAAGAGAAATTGGAGAGCTGCTCCTCCTTTATATATAGGGTGCTGTAGTCAGTTTAATCTCATCAAAATCTTTCCAGTAGTAGAATTCATTTTGTTGAGATCTTGCTTAGAGACAAGATGGCAGCGCTTTCTCTTTTGCTCAGCTTGGAGCTCAGTCAACTTGTTTTCCTTATCTTTCTGTATGTATTTAGTTTTAATTGAGTCTTCCCTCTTTGGAATACTTTTTAGTCATGTTTCACAAAACAGCCAGGAGATCTACTTGAGGAAAACATGAGAATTACATCTAACCTGGATGGTGAATGCACTGAGTATTCAGGGGTTCAGCCACCTCTTTGCTGATCAAAAAATCAAAACACCTGATTCCTTTGGTGCACATTCCTAAATCCCTGATCTATCTGATCTCACCCTGCCTGCTGCTTCTGGTGTTGACTGCAGGGTTTCAGTGAGGGGATGAGTAGCAGAAGCCTCTCACATGTGGCCATGGGCTGGGAGGCAGCACGTCATCCACTCTTGCTGCACAGCAGAAGCCTGGAGTGCCTGGACTCTGCTTCCTTTGCTGAACAAGGAATCACAAACCAGAAGAAACAGTTGGCACCTTTCTGTCTGGAATGTTTTTCCAATTCCTGAACAGGGAGTGGGACAGGAATCTTTCCATTTGTCCCCTACATGAAAGGTCTCATCCTGGGCTCTCATCCAAGCTGATGCACTCTTCATGAGTGCTTCCCTTTTCCCAGTGCTTTGTGTGCTCCTACTGCCTTGTGGGCTTTGAGAGTAGGTCACAGTGAGGTATCACTGAGGGTGAAGTCCTGAAGTCCCCTGCCCACCAGGTCTGTTGCTCTTTGCTTCGTGAAGAAACGTGTCTACACCCCCAGCAGGGTAATCTTGTGGGCAGCTCACGGTTTCAGGCTCAAATATGGGATATTTCCAATTCTCTTGTCTCCCATTCCTCCCACCTGTACAGAGCCCAGAGAAAGACAAACTGAGGGACAGCCTTTGGGTTATGTGCTCTGAAATCCTCAGTGCTGTTCCTTCTCCAGAATGTCACCAGCAGTCTTGGCTGTATCCGAAGTGGGATCACACAAGCAGAGCTCTGTGTGTGTTTGTGTGCGTGTGCCAGGAGCTGATCAGCTGCAGTGGCTGCTGCTTTGTGTGTGTGTGTTTGCAAGGGGGTGTATGTGTGTGTTTGTGTGTCTAAGGTTGGGTGCTTAAATGCTTTGTTGCATTATGTTAATTCCTCGGCAGTGCAATCAAATTCATGTCGTAATTAAAGCTGTCAGTTGGAAGGCAAGCCAATCGCCAAGAAAACACAGCATAACAAATGAAGTGAAATGATTCTGCGTGTAGCTATACAATGCTTCGCCAGGCATGAAATTAAATAAGTAATTTGATGTTGACATCAGAAATTGAAATGATACCCACTGTTCCTTCATTCAGTCAGACCTGCATAAACAATAGCCAGAACAAATATGTACAACATAGTCTTTCTCCCCACCCAGCTCCCCAAGTAATGCACAATATATATGCAAAATGGGTATAACTGTGCCTTCCAAGACCTCAAGGATGTAATTTTCTTTGGTACACAATAAACTAATGCTTACATGAGGGTTACTACATTTTTGCTTCTGGGCCAAAGTTCTTCTCTTTAAGAAAGGAAGGAAACAAAACAAAAAACAAAACAAAACAAAAAACCCCAACAAAAACAAACCCAGAATGAAAATAACAAAACCAAAACCATGTTAATTTTAAGCAAGTGTGTTTTGCTGATGGGCACCTAATGCAGGCTTCTGCTGGTGGTTGTGTGAATATCAAGTAGTATATCTAATGTCCTATTTTGCAAAGGGTTTCGGAAAGTGAAACCATTACCTCTATTATAGGCACACTTTATATAAGAGATGTAGAACCATCCAGTGCAGGATCACGACTCAGCATGGGCTTGTAAAGATGCTTGTGCAGTTGGTACCCAGGCTGGGCACTGGGTAGTGGGATCCTGTCGCTATTGGGAGTTATCCAGAAGGTGAGAAGTTGTCTCTTGCATAGCCCTCGCTTCAGCCTTTGTGCTCCGTCAACACACAGTTCACACACAGCTGACGTAGTCATCCATGCATGTGCAACACAGTCTTTTGTACTTCAATTAAAAAGAGTTTGCAAACTGTACTCTCCATATGCAGCATGCAATGTGTGAAGGGCTATATTTCCATCCGGCAAACTCAAATTCCCTGGAAATGCACAGTTGTTCAGTGAAAGTCATTTGACTGCTATGTTTCGACTGTCCTCCCATAGCCATTGCAACATTGCTTTTGAAGGAATGAAAATATTCAGTGGGAAATATTTTGTTTGCTTATTCTTTTTTTCTTCCATTTTATTGTTTTGTTTTGATACTTGATCCTTCCAAAACTTGGAATAGAAAGCAGACAAAAATTACACACAGATGCAGAAGGCAAACTTTGGAGCTTTCAGCCAGTAAAGTAAGTTTTAAAAATTGTTAGTGAAAGAGTGGGACTCACTTGGCATCTGTACATAGCTGAAACAAAAGTGGTTATAATGATTGCACGTGTTGTACTTGTGGGCAGATCTCTCCAGCTTAAATTAAAAGAATGTAAATGGCATGAAGCAGAAAGCAGGATGAGTGAGGGGGAAGGCAGGCTTTGTGGTGTGCTTTGCCAGGAACGTGGATGTGTTTGATACTGGAGTGTGCTGCACTGCACTCACTGCCAGGGGCTGCAGAGCTGCAGCCTGGGGGCCACAGGCTCCCAAATCCAGGGCCTGTGGCCCATGGAGGGCACTCCCCATCTGGGAACAGTGGCCAGGCTGGGCAATGACCGGGGCTGTGGTGGTGACCAGGTTATTCCCAGCACAGAGAATGGTCACAGCAACACTAAGGAAAGCAGAGCAGTTGTGCTGAGCCCTGGGGCCTCATGGCCACTTGTTCCCAGGTCTGCAGTGCCCATTCTTGAGCAGAGGCACTGTCAGGGGCATTGCCACTGGGCCAGGTGGGCCTTGCTGTGGATGATGGTGGTAGAGAGAACTTGAGGCTCCAGAACAGCAGGAGTGGGGACAGGAGGACTTTGGAATTTATTTGTTTCTGTGGAGCTCCCCTTGCAGGCTGATAACCAGACCTGTGCACTGCAGACCTGCTTTTGGAGTCCCCTGCAGAAGAGTCTCAGAACAGGGATGAAGAGATGCAAATTCTCAGTCTTTCCAGGGGTTTGCCCAGGCTGGTTGGGCCCCTCTGCAGTTCCTGGTTGTCCCTGAGCTGTGGCATTACTGAAAATGAGCCTGTGCTGAGGAACAGAAATGAGAATTGAGCTACAGGAGTTACAGACTGGTTGTTTCAGTGCTCACTAGAGAATGGTCCTCTGCTTTTTGCTTCCTTGTCCATCGACTCTCCGGGCAGGAGCGCTGGGAACTGTTCACCCACCCTCTAATGGAACAGGCAGTGACCTGGATTAGGACTGAGATGTTTCAGTCTCTCCCCGTGTCTCTAAGAGAACCTGCTGTGTAATCCCCATTGCTTAGATGAAAAACTAATGAAACAAAACCCTTTATCTCCTTAATTCCTGTGAATGTAGAGGTTGTGATCATGCCCCACTTAAACTGAATTTCATGATGGTTTTTTGTTTAAAGCATTTAAACCATTTGATTATTTCCCATGGTAATAATATTGGTTTCACTTATTTTTATGAGTTGGGGTTTTGAAATCTATTTCACACTGTAGATGTTTGCTGCTTGTGGTTTTTCTTTTCTTTCTAAGTCCTTGGTTTGTCAAACAATGTGGACATCCAAATGGGAAATTGCAGTGGCTGCATTCTCGAGAAAACGGCACATTGACTGAAGCGGCTTCTCTGTGCCCACGCGTTCTTTACATTTCAGACTACTAATTATGTTTACAAAATGTCTCATTTTAGAAAAGCACTATGTGTGTACTAACCAGGGCCTTTCGGGAATAAATTGGCAAACAGGTCATACACTGAAAAAGTCATCCAAACCCACCGGGCTTTTTGTTTTGAAGTCAGTCTACTTTTTTTTTTTCCTTCCCCCCCTCCCGCCTGCCCCTTTGTGGCCACGAAGCTGAGTAGCTGGAGTCCAGGGCATTGAATGTCAGCATGTCAGGGAGGCTGGTTGATGAGTGTCTGTTTAGTCTCAGTGCAGGGCGAAATGCCATCATTAATTCATTACCCAGCTGCCTGTCAAATAAATTGGCAATTACGTCCACCGCAGAAGCTTGGAATTCAGTAAATAGCACGTTACCATCTCAGAGTCGTTGAGAGATGTAAAGGGAAAAATTAAGCAACAGCGTGTTTGTTTCAGTAGCAGATGACAAGGGGCAGCACATTGGTGCTGTGATGTAGTGATGAAAAGCTTGGAAAGGGCTGGTAATGAGCTGTGTGGATTGGAACGTGTTAAAAACCATCACTGACTTTCCACTTTGTCTTTGTGTTTTGTTGCAGAGCTCAGCTCCTTCCAGCTTGGGAACAGGCTACTTTGTAAGTGTATCTCAACTTTCACACATGTGCCTCTGAACAGCATAGCTTCCTCCTCAGACAAAAGTGCCTTGGTGTGTGGGAATGGGACTAACCAGCCAACCCCACTCTGGCCCACAGCTTAACGTACCTTTGTTATTTCTTCCTCCACAAGTGCATTGGAAGTAGGGTTTCCAACACGGTGGCCAGTGTTTTCCTGAACTAATTAATTACTACATAAATTCCAACAGTATTTAATTTACACAATTAGAGCAAATAAAATGAACCATGGTCTTACCAGCTCTCTAATCTGAGATGGCAGGATCTTGATTTCCCCTTGTAGCAATTCTTTGCCTCATCTCCTGTGTACCACAGTCCAGAGAACGTGACACAGTGATTTCTACCTGTTGCTTAGGAGCCCCATGTCCCATGTTCACTCTTGGGAAATGCAACTGTACTTGTATTTATGCCAGATTTACATTTTATGTCCTGAAAAGTGGATCAGGGCCCAGCTGGTTTGAAAATTGATCAGTTTTTTTGGTTTTGTGATTTATTTGCATGCACCTATTGATTTAACAGTCTATATACCTTTCTATCTGTTCATTCCCACATTCATCAATATACCTTTTATTTGCACAGATAAGTTTGGCGGTAAAAAAATGTTTTCCAGTCAATCCAATGTACTGTTTATTTTCTTCCAAGACTTGTATTTAAATTGCTTATACCCTGTTTCACTTGTAACTTATGTTCTTATGAGAACTGTGTTCTCAAAGCACGTCTTTTCTGCCTTTATAAAACTGTAAGAGAAGCAGAGCATTATGTATGTCCAAAACCAGGTGGGTAAAATGCAGTGAACCTTGTCCTGTAGCATTGCTCTGTGAGGTTAACAGCATAATCAAAGCCTGTTTCTATCTTTTCATCAGACTCTGGGGAAAATAAAACTGTATGGTATTCAATTACATGATGGAAAAACTTTGTTGCTCTCTTGTCAGATTCCCAGAGAGTAATTTTCTTCTATTAGTACATGGTGAATTTAGTCTTTTGTCACAGGGGTCGATGATCCTATAAGAAAGTTATGTGATTAGACTGTGTTCATGTGACCTCACCTGTAAAGTATAAAATGCAAGCACAAAAATTGCTTAATACCTGGAGAAATGCTGTGTCCTGCTGGATTTACCTTGGACTTCTGCACCAACTGAATGTTCATACTGCTGGTGGTGAGGTGTGAAAAGAGCATCACCAATTGAAAAAGCTTTGTGGTCGTTGTTCTAATTATACCAAAGCCCAGATCAGTGTAAGGTAAGTTGTGAAACAGAAAAACAGACTGCTTTCCTTTTTTCAGCACTTTCCCTGGTTTGTGTCACTTGTATTTTTAAGAGGGAGGGGATGAATGGAAAAATTATATCAAATGCATTAAAACTAAAACTCGAGTGTCTTCCCATAGTTCAGAGGGAATTGCTTTCCTTTGTCTGGGAAAATTCAAATCATATGAACATTTATAGACATGCTCTGGAATGGGACAAATATAATATGGGCTGAAGGGCTGTAACATGTATATCTATATATAAATATATAAATCAGCCTTGTTCTCCTTACAGCGAGAGCTGAATATGCATGGTTTGAGAGCGGTGCTCAGCTTCATCTTTAGGCAGCAGAGGTAACAGAAGACAAGCCATCTGCTGTTCCCTGCACCATACTGTCTGTGGGTTGGTCCAGTAAAGTGAAAATCTGGAAGGTGTCAACATCCCCTATGCTCCAACGAGAGCTTGAAAGTTTCCAGTTCTCCTGAGTGAGGGATTTAGTAACAAGAAGAAGCTTGACATCTTCTAGGGCCAATGTATTGGCACTTCAAATCATTCTAATTTGGATCTGTGTTGGTGGGGGAGACATCCCTTGTTAGGTGCCATTAATACATTTAACTGTGCTGTTTCTTGTCTCTAGTCACAGTATTAAGATTTCTTTAACTTTCTTTTCATTTTCTTCACTAATAGCCAAGAAGGTAGAAAATACCCTTCAGCTTCTATCTTAAAGTTGTTTTTACACTTACATGGAGGGTTTTTTCCTCCCTTTTCACTTTGGAAAATTGTTTTTAGGATTATCTTGCTTATTGTTTTAAAGAAGTCAGTACCCTTATTAACTTACATGGGGCAAATAAAACCCAGATGTGTTTTGTGGTACCAGACAATGAGAAAAATGCTCCAGAATGATCCAATTAGCATGTGTTTCTGATAAATGTAATTATTGTATTATCAAAGTGCAAAAGAATATGCACTTGAATTGACTTCTTTTTTCCAAAGCTTTTAACTAGAAAAGACTGTTAGTTTTTGTGTTTAGTGTTAACCCGGAACATCAAAACAGGGGTCCCTGGTCTCAAAGAAAGTAAAAGTAACTTCTAGTTTAATAGATAATAACAAAGCTTTTGCCTTTGGAAATTATTCCATATGTGATATACATTGGATATGAAATATTATGTACTGCAGCTCACCCAAGGAAACATAGGAACCAGGTAAGTTAAAATGCACTGATGGACATCTACTGCATATGGAAGCAAGTTTTATTCAGAAATGAATGAACACTGAGGTACAGATTAGGTAGCATTTATTTGCTGTTTAAATCCAAGTATTCATGGACTCTTTGTGTGTTTAGGCCATGCTACATAGCATAGAGATAATACTTGTTCAACTTGGAATCTCCTTTGAGAACCATGCTTTTTCCAGGCACTCAGGTTTGATGGGTGGTGGGTCATGTGTCTGCAGTCTGTTTGTGGATCCTGTGCATGCTACAGCAAAGCTAAAATGACTTTTAGATCCTGATATTCTACAGAAAGTCTCCTGAGATCACAGAGTGTTTAGGAAACATTTATAAAGCTGACACTTCCCAGTAACACAAAATTGTTTCTGTAATATCTCTACGATAGCTCCATCCTAGGAATTCATTCTGCACTTTCAGTAGTGGTGAAGGCTGAAATCTTACCTGATTATATACAATAAGTAGGTAAATTTCTGAATGGCAGAGTTGGAGAGCGAATTCTGTCCTTGTTGGCTCTGTGTTAGTGCTCCTTGAAAAGCAGTAGGTAAAGTTAAAATGCACGTGCTCTGGGGAGGGCATTCCCACAGCCTGCTTTGCCACCCCACCTTCCCCAGGAAGGCAATGGAGAGGGGTGGGAATCTCCATCAGGTGATTCAGCCTAACCCACCCCCAGCTGGGGTGATGGGACTGCCACTGATTAAACAGACTTTGTAATGAGATGCCTTCAGCAAAGGGGACAGGGGGAGTCACCACTGATGGAGTGTTAACAGTGCAGGGCTGTCAGGGAGTTCTAAATACCCCAACAAGTTTGGTCTTCAGTTAGGAACCACTCTCTTTTACTTCTTTCACAAGTGTTGATGTGTTCAGCAGATTTTGTTGAATAGACATTTTTGTTCTTGTTGGAATCTGCTTCCTCTGTCTTGGTGCTCCTTGTCAGAGGAGACACTTTCCCCTCCTGTTTGCATATTATTAGATCAATGGTCAGAAAGAAGAAACATAGGTAAAAGTCATTCTGATTCTCCCATGTCAGGCCTCCAGGCAGTCTTTTGCCTCAATTGCAGCATCCCTGTCCTGAGTTTCCTCTTCCCAAGCCACCTGTGTTACAGGGCTCCAACTGGCCTGACTTTACTGTTTGCTGTGGGATCGGGCCAGTCTATGATTGGTGTATATGAAAAAAAAATCTAGACATGCTGTTAATATTGGTGCACCCTAAGAAATCATAACTGAATGCTTCCTGGGAAATCTCCCCGTTGTCTTTGATATTTTTTGCATTGTAAATCGTCATTGTCTCTCATCAAAGACAGACTAAAAGGTAGATTATGTCTCATCGAAAAGTCAAAACAGACAATTGGAAATTAGAAGTTAGAATTTTAGAAGAAATCACAACCTTTTTAACTTTAAAGGAAAAGCTATTTGAATTATGTGAGTTTTTAATGTTGTCCAGCTGCTTTAAGATTTCTGGGGTTTGAAATGTTTTAGAATATGATTGGAATTTGTATAACAGTAAATCTTTTTCTCTTATCTGGCTCTGAAGAATGATTTTTGCTCATTTATGTATCTTCCATCCGGCCAAATTCACATTAAAAGATATAGTGGTTCATTGGTTTGCAACACAAAACATAGAAGAAATCAAACCTAAATAACTGAATGTTTTCCTTCTAAACAACAAACCTGATTCTGAAGACTGTCAAGTTCTTTGGCAATTGCACAGTTTCCATGTTTATGGCAACTTATCTCCATTTCCTGCCCGGATCTGCTTCTTGAGTCTTTGTGGCAATTTCTGAGGGTTTTCTGTTCCTTTTTTTAATGCTTATTTTTGGTTAGCAGGTGCTGCCTTTTTTTTTTTTCCCTCCCCCAAATGCAAGGAGTTTGTGGATTTTTCAAAACTAAATAAAATTTGTTAATAAGCCGGTGATGGAAATAATATTTGGAAGGCAGAGTAAAGCTCCCATGACCCTTCTCTTCCAAACAGTGCTCTTGCTCCACCTTAAAAAAAGAAAGAAAAGCTAAAACTGTGCTTTGCACATGGGCTGGTGACTCAGACAAACCTAAATCGTGCCCATATTCCCAGGGGCTCTCCTAATCAGCTGTGCTCTCCAGCCTGGCCCTGGGTGGGTTCAGTTCAGCAGATGTTTGTGTGGTTCCAGCAGGCCACTGGGACACTCTGGCTTGTGCAGTGTTGCATTACATTACTCAGAGCTCTAAAAACTCGTCCCAAGGAGAATAAGGGGAGCACCAGTGGTGTTTAGTATGGAAATGATGGAAAACCAGTCTTTGGCCTAGATAAGGCCAGATATTGCCCTGTGCAATAGGGGGGGTTTCACATGAGACACTGTCCTACAGAACAAATGTGGAATTAGTTACACCAGCACATTCAGAGAGGAGATTTTCCCTCCTTGCCTGGCCCATGTGCCCTGGCAGTGATCCTGGGAGCCTGTGCTTTGTTCCTTGGGGCAGTCAGATTTGTGGTGCTGTTGCCTCTCTCCAAGGGGAGA